AACTGGGGCTGCCCCGCCAATCCTTTCTCCACCGAAATCTCCCATGCAAGAGGAGATTCAAATCTTTCCCTCTACTGACTTCACATGCAGCCAGCTGCCCTAGGAACGCTTATCTGTTCCTTCCAAAGTGCCTGTTATGGGCCAGGCTGAATGACAGGAGGGACCACGCCACATCACCCCACACCCTCACTTTCCCCAGGGGGAGAAACTTCTCAATGATTCAGGTAGGAGGAGCCATTGTACCTCTAGCAAAACAAATATAACTACAGAGAACGGCTTTTTTTTTTTTTTTTGAGACAGGGTCTTGCTGTGTAGTTCAGGGTGGCCTTGAACTCACTATGTAGCCCAGGCTGGCCTTGAACTCATGGTAGTCCTCCTGCCTCAGCCTCCCGAGTGCTGTGATTACAGATGTGCATCACCACACCCAGCCAGAGGATGGCTTCTATTAGATTTCTTCTCTTTGACTTAAATTTTCTACTTGGAAAATTGACATGGTTTCTCCTTTTCACTGGTGTTGATTTTCACTATATTTGGTAGACAATGATCTACAGGGCAGTCTGGCACCATCAAAAGCAACAGAAGTGATCAAAATTTTTTTCATGAACCTATGTTCTATGACTGTGCTTCACAAAACATTTGTGGGACTATATAAAGGATTAATATTAACAAAAGTAAAAACTACTTTTTACTTAATGAAACAAGGATCCCAACAGTCATTAACTAAAAACATTATTTCCTTTGGCACGGCCTGTTATATATGCAACCAGGCAGCGGAGTTTAGGACAGACAGCCTGCTCCCTGAAGTCAGTGCGGGTGAACCTGGCCTCAACACAGGCATGGGAAAGTTCCTTAACCCGAGATTCCATTTCCTCGCGTGGAAATGGGGAGTACAACAACTCCCGGGCTGTTGTAAGGCTCCATCAGAAGTGGTGAGTGGTACTGGGCCAGGTTCCACACACCTACAATCCCAGGACTAGATGGCTGAAGCAGGAGGATCACCAGCCTGAGCCTAGCCTGGGCAATTTAGAGACTGAGAGAAACTACAAAGTAAAAAATGTACTGGATATGTAGTCCAGGACAAAGGCATCGGGTTCAACCCCTAATACCACCACCAAGAGAGAGTCAGGGCACACTGCGAAGCATATAGCCTGCTGGGAGCCAGGAAGCAAGAAGCCTTGGAATGTGCTGCTGAAACAATGGCTACGATTCTTTTTAGTCCCCAAAAGATACAAGACAACAGAGTTTAGGAAGAGAGGTCCTCATGGAAATCAGCCTGGGATGATTTTGCTAAGGAAAATGTATATACATATGACACTGATTGTTCCAGTAATTACTCCGGGACCACGGACGAGGGGCGGACTCATTATGCTGTCAGAATCTCTCCTCTTTCAGAATCCTAACACCTGCATTTCCACTCCCACATTTCCATTCCTTAATCTTTATAAATGAGGTCTAAAAGCAAGGCAATTTGACATCATATTGGAAAGAAAGATTAGTTAAATAGCTTAATGTCTTAGATGGGGCAAGATATTTATGTGACTGAAAAAACAGAACAGTAATATGTGTGTTTTTTTTTGTTGTTGCTGTTTTTGTTTTTGTCTTTTTGAGACAGGGTCTCGCTATGCAGTTCAGGCTGGCCTTGAGCTCACTTTGTAGCCCAGGCTGGTCTCGAACTTGCAACGATCCACGATTCTCCTGCCTCAGCCTCCCAAGTGCTGGGATTACAGGTGTGCGCCACCCCACCCAGCTGGATTTTTTTGTTGTTTGTTTGCCTTTTTTGTTTTTAACCAGGCACAGTAGCACACGCCTGCCCACAATCCCAGCCCTTTGGAGGCGGAGGAAGGGGAAACGCGTTTGAGGCCAGCCTGCACAACTTAGCGAGACCCTGTCTGAAAAAATTAAGTGGACCAGGGATGTATCGCAGTGGTAGAGCACCTGCCTAGCATATGGAAGGCCCTGAATTCAGTCCCCAGTAGCTAGAAAACAAACTTTAGGTTTTGTTTCAGAATGGGATTCTCGGGAGGGTCTAAAAAAGAAACTCAGATGCAGAATGGTTTAATGTCCTAATGAAATGGGTTCAAAATGCAACAGTCAGACAGACCAAGTCACCTGCAGTGTGATGTGGCAGAAGCAGCTGACCGGGGCTTCTCGCCTGGAGCCGGATGAGCTACATCGCCTGAAAGGTTTCCGCACATGCCCTTTGGAAATGGGATGGCTTTCGCAAGGAGCACTACTGCTCCTGGGATTGCCCTGTGTCCATCAGTCATGCAGGCCTGCTGTGTGCCTGATGCTAAGAATTAAGAGTTCTCTAAATAGCAAAGATCATACTAACAATACATGATTCACTACTTACCGCAAAACACAACGCAGATGCAGACCGAGATAAAGGTGAGTTAAACTCCCAAGTTTTGCTGTTTGTGGGTGAGGCCTGTACATGGGGGCGGCCTGTGCACACTGCTTAATTAAACAGGTGATCCAAAGGCAGAGTGGGAGCGGAGCAGCGCCCCTGCAAAGCACACCTCCATGGCTGCTATTTATTTAATGAATACTCCTGGGCACTCTTTAAATTGAAAGATGGTTCATTAGATTTGTGCATCTGCCCTTCTCAGCAATCTGTTGTGCTTCTGATGAAGGCAGAGAAAAACACGAACATATCATTTTCGGGAATGTTATGAGTAACTCTGCTTCCAATGATTACAGAATCATAAAGGGCTCAGGCTGCCTAATTTCGGGGAAACAATTTGTCTGAAACATTCTCTGTCCAGTCCTATCTTGTTCTAGTCTCATTTATCTTGGAAACTTCAAGTACTAGTCCTTTGACTTTTTAAAAATTAATTACCTAATACGTTATCTGGAACCTATAAAAATAAACTGCATTTAAGGTACCAGAGAGTAAGTCTCTTTTAAAAAAAAAAAAAAACAGAGGCTTTAAAGCATCACCTCCTTCTTAAAGCCCTCTTTTGCTGTCCCCATGGAGTCAGCTGCCACCTCCCCCAGGCTCCCCTCTCAGCCCAGTGACAGTCTGCGCCGGGCTGGTGGCTGTGGTCACAGGTACGCACGCAAACTCTAGGGAGGCAACAGCAACAGCAACAACAAAAAAATCTTAAAACCAAAAAACCCCCACCTCTGCCCTAGTACCTGCTACACAGCAGAGGCTAACCCAAGGGCTGAACACCACAATCCAAGGTAGGCTTGCTTAAATAAACTATGAAAACATACACTCACTTGTCTGTCACCATTTAGGAAACATTTGCTCAAAGCCTACTAGGTTTTGGCTCCACAAAGGATGCATGAATGAAGACGGGGACACAAACACAATGACGAGAACCACCAGCCCAGAGCATGCCGGTCGTGGCCTAGAGCAGAACAATCTCGGAAACGTTCTCTGAAGATGAGTATTTTCAGACACTGAAATAGTCCCGCACAGAAATAGCTGTTGCTTGAGAGAGACCTGAAATGGTCGTTTCTCTTCTCTTGTGGAGAAAGGCGGTGTATAAAAGGATTCCGGACATCATATTTAGCAGCAGCTTCTCTCAGGTCACAGTCTTGCGGAAAGACACGGCCATGAAACCTTGGTTTATCACACGCTGCCTCAAAGGACCGGCTTTTCCTCAGCTGGTCAAAGGCCAAACGCAAAGGAGTGAGCAACTGTGAGGCTGAGCAGTCCCAGCCCCACTCCCCATCCCTATCTAAGCTGGCAAAGAGGCATGAAGTGCGGGTGTGGGGTTCAGCACTTACTGCAAGGGGCTGGGAGTTCACTGGTGAAGACGGTAGGGAAGAAGTGTAAGACCGAAGCTCAGGTTTGTTAGCAGACTGGGCGAAGTGCACGAGCGTAGGAGGCTCAGGTTAAGAGCTGCTCTGTACCGCACTCCGAGGGATGGATTCCTACATCCGAGAGTGGGCATAAAGAACACTGCCGTGTTCATCTGTGCTGAGAGACGGAAGCAGTGCTGTCCTCAGAGTGCTGAGAAAGATACTCCAAAACGTCACTGCAATGCGCTGGCAGAACTGCCAACGTTACAGTGCAGTGACAGAACTGATGTCTCAAAGAGACACGGTGGCAGCCCACGGGAGGCGGTGACCAAGTCTGTCTAAAGTATTAGAAAATAACAGACTGTACCTAGTCATTACTGGTCGTAAAAGAGGAGTTTTCATGTGAGGCACTCTGGATGCTTCTTGAGGTTAAGGAGAACCACGGATGAGCCCAGTGAGCTGCGTACCTTCCTCTGAACCGCCAGGCTGCTGCTACTGAGGTGCATTACACACAGATAAATATGTGTATCTAACACCCCATGTAGTTATTATTGGTCACAGAAAGCAAAACCCTTGTTCCCACAGATTCTGCTGCTCCAAAAGATGACTGCGGCCTGTACTCACTCCCTGCAAGCAATAGCTGCAAAGCTTTCCACCTCCTCCTTTCACGGACAAGACAACAACTGTGACAAAACGCTGCACTCACGGATGTGGTGTCACTTTAATATCACTATGACAAAGAAACCCACGAAGCTTAGCTCTGTGAAGGGTGGAAAATCCCTAAGCAGATTTCAGTGGTGTCAGGTTCTCGAGTGGCCCCGTTGGATGCAACCTCAAACCCCAAAGGACTGAATCTTGTAGTCCGTTTCCTGCATTGTGAGGAGTAGACGTTTACTTCCACAACTGATAAAACACAGGGGCAGCCTGAGGACCTAGCATCCTGCCAGACCCTGTCATGGTTTGATGCTGTTAGATGTCTAGAAACCCTATACCCTGATTTTCTGTCCTGCAGACACATGGGAAAAGTACTCATCCATAACATCTGGACTGACTTCCCGTCTCCAAGGCTGCTGTGCGCAGCTGTTCACATCTCCGCTAGAGAAAGGAAAACGTGACACTGTTTGAGGAGCGTGTACTGCAGTGGCAGTGAGCAAGGGTTACTGCGCCTCACTCTCCTGAAAGGCCCTAAGTACTCAGGGAGAAATCTGCCCCTCCTCCACCAAGTGCGTGTACCCCGTGGTACCCACCAGCAGTGCGAAGCTGTGCTCGGGCAGCATCCCGTATTGCTGGACCAGCCGCTTCCGGGTCGCACTGGGCAGCTCGGGTAGCGCGTCCCGAATCTGGTCGATATTGATCACTTGCTGAGAATCTGCACCCGCGGGCAGAGACGCTGTGTCGTAGAGCACCAGGGGAGGCAGGTTGGGCTCTGGCATAAACCTAGGCAGAGAGAACAGACAGGACCTGAATCTGGAGTATCTGGACTACTCAGAATCACAGATCTACCTCTGATATGAATGTCTCCGGAGTCAGATGCTATGTTACTTGCAAGTATTTTTGAATGTCCTAGTCTATCCATTCTCCCTGTTTCCCAGGGAAGTCTGTGTGCACGGTGCTTGCGAAGTCCCCAAGTCACCACACCTGCCACCTCCCACGCTTGTAAAGCAGTGGTGAGTGAAATAAGTGTAACACAGGGCTAAACCACACTTTGATTTACAATCATGGATAAAGTACATTCGCAAAACACAGGCTGGAAATAAGAGGACCAAAGGAGAACAATTTATGTATTAGGAAAAGAAGTGATTTTCCCGTTTTTTAATTCCTGCTTCTTGCAATGTCTGTGTAACAAACAAAAAGTCAAAGAAAAACTCCAAACTGGCCTCCTCGAGAGGTCTAAGCATGTAAAGATTTCGCCTGAACGTAACATGGACACTGGAGGGAGGCGTGAGCAGGTGGGGCTCAGGACACGTTAGGCCAGCGAAACAATTCTGCGTGACGCCGTCACGGAGGGTATGTGTTACTACGCACACATCACAGCCCACAGAATGTACGATTCGAAGGGTGAACCCCCGTGGGAACTATGGACCTTAGCGAATAATGAGCTATCAGAATCAGTTCATCACTGTAACAAAAAGACCACACAAACTCAAGACGTTAAGGAGGGGCGCTGGGTTGGACAGGAGGCAGTGAGTATATCAGAACTCTATTTTCCACTCAGTTTTGCTGTAAATCTGAAGCTGCTGTAAAGAATAAAGACTTTGAGAAATATCTATGATGCCGAACCACCGCATATATCTTATGAAACACGTCCCTGCTCTCTGCCATTCCAGCAGTAATGTCTTCTCTCTGCCCATAATCGTCGAGGGGCTCCCGTAAAAGCAGGATAATGAAGACCAAATCGTGGTTCGAAGGTAACAGACTAGGAGGCAAGCGGCTCATCAACTCACGGCCAGATCTCTGCCACGAAGCAGTCTCGCTTCTGAGAAGAGGAAACCAAAAGGAGGCTTCCTGAAACTACCAACTTGGACGATGGAGCAGAAGCCACTGGCTGAATTAAAAGGCAAACTCCATGCTTGTCTTAGTTACTTTTCTCACTGCTGAGACGAAACACCTGACGCCCAGAGTTAAGGGAGAAAAGGTTTATTTAGCTCACAGAGTCTGTGGAGGTTTCAGTCCGTACTGGGCTGGCTCCAAGGCAGACAGGCCTCACAGAGGAGAAAGAGTCATAGTGGGCAGAGGGTAGCAAAGCAACAAGGGACCTTAACAGCCTCTTTCTGCCCCTTTTATACTCTATCGAGGCTACTGGGACTAGGGCGGTGCCTAACCAAATGAGCAGGCCAATTTAGCAATCACACACCCTTAATCCCAGCACCGCTCCATAAATCAATCACATACTCAGACTCAGCCACCTCTGGAAAAGCCCTGTCTAAGGCTGAGTGAGGCTCTGGGGGCCATCTAGACAAAAACTCTAATGATGGCCCATGAGAAAGCAGCATAATACGGCCGGGAGCAGCAGTGAAGAACAAAGAAGTTTCTTCCAAGACATGGCCTGAACTAGGAGCTCACAGACAGGCCAGGACTCCTTGGGGTGAGGGCTACACGTGCTCCGTCCTGCCGGCCACAGTGGCACGGGCAGCCCTGCGCCTCACAGAGGAGATGTGGGCTCATCTCAGCAACTTTGCTGCTTAAAGCTCCGTCTTTCCAACCTGCTCAACTCAATGGAAAAAGCGAGAGGTTCAATTTGTCTCAAGCCCATCTTTACTAATGGCTTTATTCACAGGTCCTCTATTAATTCCAGCTTGTTTACTCTGTCAATGAAATAGCATCCCCCGAGGTCTGAAGGGAACTGCATTAACATAGACATACGCGGGGCACTTCAGTGCATTACAGAATTTGCTGCTGAAGGTAAAAACAAGAAAGGCCAGGGCACCGACCTCAAATGGCATCCTCTTTGCTCAGCTACAGCAGCTCTGACACAGAAGCAAGTGAATAAGTGTCTGCAAAAGCCGAATCCCATCAAAGAAGGGGCTCTGGGGCTAACACATCCCAGTGTACACACTAATTTTCCATCACATAATAACAATAAAAGTAATTCCTACGAGGTCTCCAGGGTCATCAGGATCTCTGAATGGATCTGAAACGTGCCCATACCCACAGTAGGTAATAACATCTGACACGAGAGGTGGTCACCTGTAGTCCTGCTTTCCTTCCTTGTCCCTCATTGGCACGGTGCACCTGTAACAGTCAGAGAAGAAAACACTGAGCAGACGCTCCTCACAGTACAGCCACCCCACAGGCAGAGGAGTGGTGCTAGGTGTGGTTCCCAGCTTGCTGCTACTGGGAGGAGGTCTAACTTTACCAGGGGCGGCTGGGGGGAGGCCCGCAGGCTGCTGGAGCTGCGCCCATGAAGGGCTCTGCGGGAACCTGGTCTCCCTCCCGCTTCCCTGCGATGATGTACAGCACAGGCCCAAGGAGACGGGGCTGACCAACCGCAGACTACAATCACTGCCCTGTGTGTGAGCCAAAGCTCTTCTCTTTGTATGCTGTTTATCCGTGATACCTGTCACTACAGGGGAAAGATGATTAAAAGGGTTTCCCCAACCTGTAAGGGGACATAGGTAAATGTAAGTTCTTCAACTTGCCATCAGCAATAAATTGCTTCACTGTTTCCAAGTCAAAAAAATGTTTTTGTGGCGATGGAAATGGAACCCAGGGATTGCATGTGCTAGGCAAGTGCTCTACCACTGAGCTACAGCTCAGTCAAGTTTCCAGCCTTTGGTCAGCTCAAGATTTTACGCTTTGGAGTTTTCAGTACTCTGCTTAAGGAATAAGATCCTCAGAAATGAGTCAGAAAATCAAGGTCAGAGCTAGGTCTAAATTGCAACCAGGTTTTAGTCTATCTACCTCTAGCCTAAGCTGGTATAGGTCTGAGAGATTACTTAAAAGTAAACATTTTTTTTATAAAGCATGGAAACTGGAAGAGAGAAATCTAGGACTATGACCAAGCACTGCTAAATAAGTCTGGGTCTTATAATACAGGAGTATTATACCCCTGTGGGCGACAGTGTTTTCTGCTTGCTAATGAGGAAAGCCAAGTGCAGGGAAGCTAAGGAGCCCTTCGGCCACAAAGCAGGTCTGTGGCTGAGCCCGGATCTCTCTGCCCACCCACTGTATTCAAGGTGCTTAGGAATGCAAACTCACCCCAGCTTGGGGTCAAAGGAGCGAGTTTCATTCAGAATTTCACCTCCGCTCTCAAGTTCATTGATTTGCCTCTGAATTTCATGGTCTACAAGAAACAATAATTTAGTATCATAGTTTGATTATACCTTTAATCAATTCAGGCAATAATTAGAAACCTTTTTCAATCTTAAAGTCAGAGGATAATTAGGAAGATTGTGTATAATAACCCTTCCCTTGCATGCTGTATTTTCTCTTCACTGCCATCACAGAACACTGATGCTGGAAATGGCCCCAAGTTTTTTGAGAAAACTCAGGTTTGGAGAGAGTAAGCAATCCAATACAGATTACACAATTTGGCAGACACAAGGCTAAGACCCGTATGTGGGTCTGATGACTGCAGAGCTAGGACTGGTGCCAGCAGGGACTCTTACTCTGGGACCTGTGGATGGGCTGTGAGGGGCCCTGCTACCCCCTAAAATGACATATGAAATGTGAATGTTTAGAGAGAGGACTCACACCCCCATTTTATAGATAGCTAAGCTCTCTTATGAAAATAAACCTTCCCTTAACTCCTCACTCTGCCATACGCCATCTTCCCTTGCTCAGATCCAAATGCTTTGATCTAAACTGCTAAGCAGCAGTAACACCAAACATGCCCACTTTGGCTCATGCCTGCCCCACTCCATAGCTCTCACATGAGATCACGGCCACAAGGTCCAACATAGCGAGGAAAAAGGTGATACAAAAATGCCAGGCTTGGAGAATAAGCCCAAGACGTCGAAGCGCTGGTTGCCCCAGGATGAGTTTTGCTGTAGGTAGGTTCCTGACTGTTGCTCCAAAGGGAACTTCATAGGACAAAAGGACACTAGGGATGCCAGAAACGTAACTCACTGCAGATGAATCTACTTTCGCTCTTTTTGTAGGTTCCTTACAGTGACGGGTCCCAGAACACCACTGTGTCTAAGGTGAACTGAAACTTTCATCCTCCTGTCCCCAGATTCCCCCTCACAAGCCTGGGTGACCAGTCTGAGTCCCTGCTTCACAGCGTGGTTGCAGAAGTATGGACTATATCCCCTTCCAGAGACAGAAGGGCACCCTCTTTGGTCTGCATTTATACGGGAACCTTTTCTTTCCCTTCCCCTTCCCAGAAATTATCTCCTTGACCATTTTACGGTGTTTTCCTGGACATCTGTGGACTCCAAATGTCTTCACTGAGGTTGATCATTTTGGGTTCAGGCTGATGAGATTTTATACCAGACCAGAATCATCTTTTCTGCATTGCTTTTAGCATTTCTCTTGGCAAGATCCAGGATTCTACTAAACATCTCCCCTACGGCAGTGTTCTGGCAACATATTCAGAGGTCTAGTTGTATGTACACTCTTGAAGGGACGCACTTTAAACTCATCCCTGACTCCTCCTTTCTCTCTAGACATCTTTGGTTTTTTAAAAAAACTGGTTTTTAGACCTGAGATGACCCCCTCAGAGTCACAGTCATTGGTTTCTATGGGACTGCTCAGACGTTTATCCTCTACCCTGTTCTATTTCAATTATGTATCTGTCATCCATGAACACAGCATGGGGTTCCAATAAGTCTGACTCTGACTGCACAGGCACGTGCGACCTATTAGTAGAAAAGAGTACAAAGCAGAGGAACATTAGGCCACACTATGGCCCATCTAAAACAAACGAATATGATTTCATACAGTTCAAGCCACGAACTGAACAAACTTGACTTTATAAAGAATGCGGCCCATGGCAAAACACAGACACAATATTCTGTGAATCCTCCCAGGAAGAGCTAGAGTCTATCTTTTCTGTCCTGAGGCTGCTTTGAATTCAGTCTGCTCTGAATAGGATGTGCTGGAGGTGACATGGTGTGAGTTGTACAGATTAGGACTCGGGCGGGCTTGTGGCTTCCGTCTCCTTTCTCTCCTGGACGTGCTCACCGGCAGATAAGAAGTCTGGGTGAGACAGGTGACGGGGAAGGACCGCGTGGGCAAGGAAGCCACCAGGATAGGAGCCCATGGGAACAAGACCAGGCCTGACCTCCATTTCTGCTGACCTGTCAGCTTCCCACAGCTGCAGGCGGGGGCAGAGGCAGCACCAGCGAAAGAGCCACTGTCCACAGAACTGAACACCAAAGTGGTCACTCATAAGCCACTCAGGGGGCCTGTCACCCAGCAGGTGAGGATGGACAGACAGGACAGGAGGAGCACAGCAGACACTCACCTATGGCTCTGGCCAGGAACCTGATGCTGTTGAGATTCTTCACTTCGGTTCGGATGCCCAGCGGCTCCCCAGGGTGATGCACGGATATATTTGCATCCACTCTCAGCTGGCCCTCTGGAGAGACAGGAAGAAGAAAACCTGGAGAAAATCCTTGAGGCAGCACGGTCTTCTTAAAGCGGAGGGAATGAAGGGAGCTGTACCACAGCCACCCAGCCTTAGAGAAGGCAGGCGCGTCCTGAAGCTCGCGGCTGGGCCTCCACCTCCATTCCAGAGAGCAGTTGGGGGCCTGTGCATCGGAGGGGCGCCCTCCCGTGTTTATGCGTGTGTGGGTCCACGCAGGTGTACTTGTGCACATACAGGAGAAAAGCTTCAGATACACCAGCTGAATCTAATTTCTTTTATGCTAAATAAGAACAATACTTTTAAGGTAGAGATTTACTCTGCAGTTTTATTCTGAATTTCTTTTACAAAGTGTCAAAACCAGGTTGGTGGTTGGCAGGGGCTCATGAATGATTACGCGAAAACCCTCCAGAACTCTCGCATGGAATGTGGATTTCTAACGCTGATTCCAGGAGATTTATAGACAGTCCTTGAGAATTTACAGCTCAAGGGCGAGAGCTGAAACCTGGGCTCTTCCCCTCCTCCTCCCTCCAGGTCCTGTACTGCAATAATCTCTTCCTCCCGCACAAGGCTCCCGATGCTGCCTAAGAGCATAAGGATTTGCTGCACCAGAAGACAGGAAGCGGGGACGCAGCGGTGGGACTGAGGGGCTGACCCTGTCCTGGGGGGACTGTCCCTGCCCCTGAAAGCCCTTCCAGATCAGAAGCCGCAACCCCTAAGGAAGCAGCAGAATTTGTGGAGAGGACTAAAGACTCCTGAGGAAGAGAAGAGGCAAAAATCCCAAGACAAATAGAGAGAGGAAGATAAGAAATAACCACATTTCACACCTTATGAAGTAAAGCTCGGATTCTCTGTTCTCCAATTTCATTTAGAGAGTGAGAGGACTAAATGTTGGATTTTGTTTTTCTTTGTAGGTCCCGCCTCTTTTATATTAAAAAGTAATCCATCAAACCTGAGTGTTTTGAAGTGCCAAATAAATTCATTTTTGAGATTCTCCAACAAAATCATATTAAATTTAAAAAGTACAAATAAATTCCACGCCAAGAAAAGAAGCCCCCTGGAACGGGTTCTCGGTCATCCTCCAATCTGCTGAGCCGTGGCTCTCTCAGTCTCACCGCAGACGAGGGGATCCGCTCAGCTACCCTATGGCTCCGAAAGCCTGAGGACAGCTTTCAGCTGTTCTCCCCAGCACTGACTTCTCAACGTTTTTACAAAAACCCCGTAGCCCCTCATTCTAGATCACTCTGAACAAGCTGTGTGTTTCTGAGTCACAGGAAGTGCCCGGTTTGGGAACTGCTTGGCCAAGCTCCTGCGTAGATCGAGTCTTCGCTCCCAGCACCTCGGATCTGCCATCCTGGCCCAGGCCTCGGCACAGCAGGCCCAGCTGAGGGCCCACAGATTCCTGTCAGCCAGCAGGGCCCCTGTCCAGTCACACAGCTGGCTCTGACTCTCAGTGGCCGCAATGTGGCTTTGCCATCCCCGCCGCTCACTCGCTCAATGGCGGCTTTCACGGCATCCCCTGACCTGGCAGGCATGGCCTACATTTCCCACTCTGCATACCTTCCAGTCAGGGCAGCAGTGCGTAGACCTTCCTGTCTACTCCGCTGACGTGTTCTCCTCACCAGTGTGACTCTCCCTCTCTTCCCCCTCTGCTTGCCCCCCCCACCCCCCCCCAAGGTCCCACAAAGTGTTACCACCTTCTACCACCTCCTCTGTAAGGAGCCTCCTCTGGGAAGAGCACACAGGCCGTCCATGCTGAGGAAACCTCATCTCTAGGCTGAAATGGGAGGGCCCGGGTGAGGGACCCGGGTGAGGGGCCCGCGCTTTAAACACCTTCCTGCTTTCATGGACACTGCTCTTTCTCTCAGCCCTCCCCTGCAGCAGTCATCCATCTCTTTCTCAGCATCCCCTCGGCTGTGTTCAAAAGCAACAGTATTTCTCATTAAGAAAACAAACAAAAGCCAAAACACCTATTCCCCTGAGCCCAGTTCTCATTACATCAGTCATCCAGCTGCTATTTCTCTGCTCTCCTTCTCAAGAAATCCTCTCAAAACAAGTTCTGTTTGTTGCCCATATTGTACCCACATCTCAACTCCCACTGACTCCTAGGCCCACGTCAGCCTGGTTCTGTCCCCACCGCTCTGGTAATGCCCCTCTCTGAGGCACCAGCCACCTCCTGGCTGCCAAACTGACGGATGCAGGACACACTGTCTTCTGGTACTGGACACCTCCACGGCACATGGCTCATCCACTCATCCTCTCTTCCTGGGTATCTTCCTACCTCAGCTCCTCTGCCTGAGCACCACTGCTTGTTCTTCCTGTATTCTCTACTTCCATTTCATTTGCTGGTGCCTTCTTTTGTATCCAAACTCAAGGCTCCCTTCTCATGCTCTCTCTTCAGGGGTTTTAAACACAACCTTACAACCTCTGTGCTCCTGTTGGACTCAGGGTTTACAACGCAAAGGATTTAATACAGGACATATAATTTATAGGGATTATTTTATAATAGTCACCCAAAAAGTCAAATGCAAAAGAATGCAGGAGATCTGCCCACACAGCGGAGACCCAAAGAATCCGAGGGCCTGGATCCCACAACAATGTCCCTCACGAGTCCAAATGAAGGCCTGGAGCCCATGGCAATGTCTCATACAAGTCTGTAACAAGGATCTGCACTGGGAAGGCCAAAAGGTCAGTGGTGGAAGCTACAAGGTCTGTACCAGCGGGATGAAGGACCTGTGCCCGCAGCCTGAGGGATCTGCACTGGAGCCAGGAAGCAACCCTCAAGGTAACTGCAGCCATCCTCGGCAACAGCGAGGTCCTGAGCTTCTCCAATGATGAGAATAGCCGAGTTCACAGCAGGAAAGGCAGCACAAGCCTCTCCAGGAGAAACAACAGCACACCATCTTCCCCTCCAGATCTCCTTTTATGCTGCTGGCAACAACCCTCAGGTGGGCCCCTCCACACCCAGCACCGCACTGACTCCGTTCAGCTGGGTATTCCAATTTGACCACTAGTTGTCAATCCACCACAGCTCCTGACACTGAAATTTCCCTCCCTAGCCCAGACCTCTCCTCTGAGCTCCCCAGTAGACCTCGGCAGCATTTCAGTTTCCAAAACTGCATCTTAAGTGGCCCTTCACAGAGTCATTCTTGCCCTTATCATTGGACTGCGCTGCACATACCACCTTCCTCCTCAAATGTCCTGGAGCATTCTTGCTTCCTGTCTCCCATCTCCGCACCAGCCTGCTACAAATCCTCTTACTTCTACAAACTACCTTGAACCTCCCCATCTCTCCATCACCAGTGTCACCAGTGCTGTCCAACTGCGTCATCTTCTGTCTAAACTCCTGCAAGCCTCCCAAATGGTTTCCACACGTCTCTTCTCCTTCTGAAATCCACTTCCCGCAAGCATGCAGAGCGGTTTTCTAAAACATTATTAAGACTACATCATTCCCTTACCTAAGGCCCTTTCAGGGATCACTCACAGCCCCTGGGCTAAAAGCTACACTTCCTGGTATTACCTGTAATCTATCACCGGCCTACCTCCATGATTTTCCTCGATGCCACAGCTCCTTACGCGTTCTCCACAGTGCCCCAGTCACCTCAGTTACTTCAGAGCGCACACTGGGCTTTTCCTCAACTCGGGTCCTCTGCCTCAGCTGTCTCCTGGAATACTCATCCCCCGGCTCCATGCTGGCTGGACCTTCACGTCTTAACTAAATGCCACTGCTTCTGAGGGGCCAGAAAAGCAACACTGTCACCTTCCGAGTTACTCTGCGTCACACCAGCTCACGCATTTCCTTGAAGCACTCATCACTATAATGACTGTTTATTTGTTTACATGTTGGGCTTTCTCAAGCTCCATGTGGCAGGAACAAGGTGTTTCTCAGAACCTAGGGCTGAGTCTGACACATGGAGCTAGTTCAAAAATGAAACCTTGTTCAAGAACAGATGCCAGTGTGCTGGTATGTTCCTGAGCAAGGAGTAACCTCCATCTCACAGGAGGTTCCCCATAAGTTCTACATTTCTGTCTAAATAGGACTAATCTGCAGTTGAGATCATCTGGAAGGCCCATTAAACTCAGGAAAACGCGACGTACGCTGAGCTCTGCTCAACCAAATCTCTGTACTTGGGAGATAATTTTTTTTTAAACACAGGGAACCTTAAATTACTCACTTGCTTTTAAAAAGGAAACCATCTCTCACAATTTAGAATTCTAATTTGGAAGAGTGATAAAAGCATGAATTTTAGTCTCTTCCATAGAAGACCATACTACATCAATGCCTGAGAGGAATCATTTAGTACCCTGCAGTGTTAAAAGACAGTTCGCTAGCCTGGATTCAAATGTAGAATCAAACATTAACAAAAGACACTCTACCCAGTGAAGACAAAATACCTTTTAAACAAATTAAGTTAAATTGCTTCAAGTGCATGAAAGCCTTGCGAGTCAGGTTTGCTTCTGTGTGCTCTGTCCCACTGAGGGAGGGCCTGCATTCACACCTTGTGAGAACGCTACCCAGCTCAATTTCTGTCTTCTGGAAGCCAAGACTTCTAACAATAAAAACACTATACCACTGAGCACAGTGATAGAGTGCAGTCACATATCTTTTTTCTAAAACACATTCCCACAACAGAAATATAACATCAAGATAGAAAGCTGCTTCTGGGAACAGCAGGGGCCGAGGCTTTGGTAGGAAGGTCTGTCAAGCTATCTCATTCTGGTTCCTCAATACTCGCCAAAACTTAAATAACAAAACTTAGCAAAAAAAAAAGTGACTTTTTTGTTTTGGTATCGGAAGTTGAACTCAGGACATTGCACTTGCCAGGCAGGTGCTTGTGCCACTGAACTATATCCCTGGCCTTTTTTTTTCTTTTGTAGTGCTGGGAGTGGAATCTCACAGTATCTCACACATGCCAGTTAAGTGCTCTACCTGAGCTCCATCCCACGCTGAAAGTGACTAAATGTTATTGAACGTATTTCACTAAGCGTATCCATCCAAATGAGTGGTGATGCCATAAAAGCAATCCCATCCTACTTACTACTGTTAATAAAAGCATTTACCCAGCACAGGCTTTTTGCCAGGCCCCGTGCTGTCCTACATACATTATCACCTTCACTGCCTACAATGCAGCTTTCAGGACAAAGCCGCTTGGACATCCCTCGGCATTCAAACTTAGCACTTCCAAAATCAAATTCCAAACTTTCTTGCCCAAAGTCATGCCTCTGACTTGTTCCCTCAACTTTACCTGGTGATGCTGATGACTTCCTTTGCTTTTTGACTTCTCCTTTTCTCTTTCCACACACAATTATTTGGAAGTTTCTTTTATAAGTGTAGAAAGTGAGGGTCAGAAAAATTGAATCATGGGCCCACGTTTCTACGCCTAGAATTTCGCAGGCAGGATTCCAACCCGTGTCTGGGACCTCCGAGTCCTGGGCACCATGACATACACTGCAATTCTGCCTCACTAAGCAGGCGTCTCTGAGTCACAGTAACTCGAGGAAGCAGTAGGCTTCCTGCTTCAAGAAAGTGCTCCTGCAGTCAGACACACCAGGGCTCAAACCCTAGCTCCGGTGCTGTCGGTGAGCCTCAGGCAAATAAGCCAGCCTACCTGAGGCTCAGCTGCCTCACCTGTAGAACAGGTATGACACCACCTGTTTCCCAGGAAAGCTGTAATGTTTGAGATGATAAATCAGCTTTTTAAAATGCTCACTGAACTGACAAGCACCTATTCAAGTTCCAACTGACAGGTATTACCACCGCTGAAACTGAGTAGGCCTACTTCTGCCTACATTCAACTCAACACACTGCTTTGAGGACCTCAACAGCGGCAAATGACTTGGAACCTGGCTGAGCTGGTCCACGCTCATTAGCAAACCTACTGGAAATGCAACCAATTGCAGCCTAGAACAATGTACACTTCCTTCTAAAAGCACCGCGGCCACCAGTCCTCACTGTCCCACTTTCGGGTGACCTCAGCTCCCAAGCTGCGATCTCCAGTGCTGACCAGCGGCCCTATGGTGGTGGGAAGAGGAGTAAGCAAAGGAGTCTGGCTGCTAAATGCTAACAGCACCACTGAGAAGCCGGCTCCCGCGGACTCCAGGCAGACCTCAGCTCCCCACAGCACTGCAGAACCACCAGAGCCACTCAGCGGCTGTGCTGAAGCAAAACTGCTGGATCTGAGTTTAAAAGAAACAAAAAGTGTCACAACAAATGAGATTTAATGAGCACTCTCAGCTGTCACTGACTCACGAGTTCTTGCCATGATGGTTTATCTCTTGGCAAGGACCCAGATGGGACTATTTCTCAGCTAACAGGTGGCTTGTTTATTATTCCACAGGGTATGCCGGAATCACAGTGATTCTGGGTAAGAATGGAATAATAAAAACTTTTAAAGCGATAATCAATGCTTACCGCATTAATGGATAACTGTCCAACCTGTCTATATTTCATTTATGTGCTGTGCATAAAAAGGCAGCATGAGTGATAAATGGAAAACGGAGAATTCTCCGACTCTGAGTCTCATTTCTGTGAAGGAAACTCGTAGGCAGCTAACCTTTATGTCACTCAAACTCATGTGGCTGTTTTTTCAGTCTTTAAAGAAGAAAACAGCAAGTAAGCAAGTACTGTCTTCACATTCGACTTGCACCAGGGCTTTGATGTTATAATTTGTTGCTTGTAAGACATTCTATGTGACAAATATGACACTGCCAATTCAGAAGTCGCTCTGTAACACACAAATACACGATGTGACGTGGTAAGGGTGTCCACAGTACTATGAGCTGGCGGGAAGATGACCACCTTCATCCGTGAGACTCACCGGGCACACAGGGCGACCTCTGCATTGCGTGCAATGAAACACATGACTGTAAATTCAGAGCCTGTGTGCTGCGAGGATGATGGAAACTTTTAAAAAGCACAGGAGAATGAAAACAAACACAGACCATCGGGGAGATTAGCTTTTAGGGGCTTAAAGGAGGACAAAAGAGCCCTGGGCAGAGACCAATGAAGCAAAGCCATGAAGACACTGAACTTGATCAAGCTTATGATTCTACATACGGTCTACAAAGGTCTAAAATGTCTAGTCTGCTTGGTTCTGAAGAAGACAAGTGTTTTTTTGAGTTTCCTACTTTATATCTACTGAATTTAAGATCTGATCTAAGGAGAAAATTTTTGCAATGCTAATCTTGGCTCATAGCCAATATAATTTGGCTTCAGTTGCATGTGGATGAAAATTCTATTTTTAATTATCATTTTAACTGTACAAATTTATGGGATATGTACGATAACTTGATATACGTAGTAGCCAAACTGGGGTAGTTCACCCTTCATGGATGAAAATTCTACAAAACAAAGAAAATAAACAGATTTCCCCAAAGTAGCAACTAGTTATCTGTAAGAGAGAACTCACAAACTAAGAATTATCCTTGAAGAACGGGGTCTTCTTTCTGAGAAAGATGTAAGTGTTCACACACATTATTTTGAGCGTGTTTTGAATCCCCACAGCTTTGAGGTAAGAACCTGGGGGCCGTATGGAGTCCTGTGACTCACGGTCTTGGGCTCAGTATCTCCGCGTGGCTGTCTGTTAGTGTCTCTATTTGGTTTGGGGCTCAGAAAGGAGGCCAAGAAAAATTCTGAAGACAAAAAAAAAAAAGCAAGGAGGAATGGAAAAGGATGAGAACAGATGTAAACAACTTCAGTATACAAGATGCCACAAAGTAAAACTCAGGGGCAAACAGACCCAAGAAGGAGAAAGGGAGAAGGTACCACAGGAGGCCATGCCGCTGGCTTCTACCTGCCATGTTTGCCTGGCTGGTCCCCAGGGCTTGGAGGATCAGCTGCAGCTCCTTGACGACTGCGGCCGCCTCTTCTCCACAGGACAGGTCGGGCTCCATGACCACTTCCAGGAGGCCAACTCCTAGCAGAAAGAGGCACAGTCAGCCTGGCTGGGGCTCACCAGTGTCACCAGCAGGTAAAACCCTGCATTAATGAAGGACTCTCAAAGTGGTTCTAGTCTCGACACCGGTTCTCTCTTTCCCTCCACTTTTTGATTCTTAACTTTGGATCACTTGTTTTAATGTTTGCTTAAGGATATCCAGCACTGGATTTGTGGCTACTGGCTAAGCCTGTCTGATCTGAAAGGTGAGTCACTGGCCAGCCCAGCAGTAATCATACTTTAAGCCATACATTCTCATTGGCTCTGCCAATACTAACAGATACTTTGATCTCCTCCTGTCAGACTCTAGTGTGTGCTTTCAGCTGGTTTGGGAAAACTCTAGAAAGGAAAAAAAGGTGCCTAAAATCCAAGGACTGAGGGGCCTAGAAGCAAGGCAATGAAAATACTCAGAGCCTACCCGCCCTGTTCAAATCAATGAGTGTCTGGGACCTCAGGTCGTCGTGGAGGCTTTTGCCGCTGTCTTGCTCCAACTGGATCTGCTTGATCCTCACCGTCTTGGTGGCCATGTGACTCCACCTATTCCCCACAAACACTCCATACGACAAGCTCCCATTGGCAGCAATCGGGAGCCTCTGCTGGGTGATCTGGTACCCTGCCTGCATGCAAGCAAACAACAGTTACAGTCACCACCCCAGGCCCAGAAGCTGGGTTCCAGCCTACAGTTCCCTTCAGGGTCACACAATGAAGGGCTTACTTGGAACAAAAACAACAGAACAAGAATACAAGAAGAAAGATTAGTTCATGCACTGCTGCCATAATTTAAAGACACTGCTTCCGGCTCTTCCCATCGCCCCTCACCTCCCCCAAGCCCTTCACCCCCAGTAACACCGCAATTACAACATGAATCGCATCTTCCTCACAAAAGTGCCATTTTTGAGAATAACAATAATCTCACTGTCAGGAGCCCCTAAGAGAAGAATTTACTGTTTTCATTTAGCTCATTAGCTGCACTCTGCATCTCATTACTGGGCTCCTGACAGAGCCTCCTTCGTAGGAAACGCTGGCTAAGCACTTCGCCCATCTCTGCTCAACACTGCGGTAGCCGGTGCCAGCGTGATGAAGCGAGTTTGGTTCTACTCCTTTGGCCCTCGCTGACCCAGCTTCCCTTGTTACTCTAGCCAGAAAGTGCTGTGGCGCTGCTCACACTCAGCGCTACCACGCTGGAGGCCCTGGACCTCCTTCTACGTGGAAAGGAGAGCTGCTTTCCCGTGCACGCATGCATCAGCAGACATGAAGAAGGCAGCAGGTCAATGCAGAGGATCGGAGAAGAACAGAGGACAAAGGCTAAGTCACCAGCGGCATCTGCTTGGGGGCTCGACACACTTCCCAGTATGTCACACTCGTGTGTGAGCCCATGACCGCCAGGGGAAGCAGGACAATCACAGAAGGGCCACAGCCTCGCCCACAGCCACACACTGATCTAGGACGCCTCCGGGTCAGCATGTCAACCCAGATGCCCCGGCTCCAGTCTGGACTCCTCATCACTAGGGCAGGCAGTATTTTTTCAAGCTTAACTCCATCAGAAATGCTGGCGGGCTGGTCAAAGCAGTGTGCTTAGTGCCACCTCAAGGATTTCTAATCCAGTAGGTCTGGCGTGGGGCCTGAGAATGATTCTTCTGACAAGATCCCACATGCTGACGATGATGCCTCGGGGCCACATTCCGACTCCATTTTCCACACTGAGAGAGGAAGTCTCAATTTGCAAAATGATGAAGTGTGATCAAAATATATGGTGAATGTTTTCATTTGTTTAAAAAGAATGTGTTACAGTAAGATACCACGCCATAAATTCCCCTCAAAACAGTCCCTGTCACTCCAGCCACACCAGTCCCATCATTCTTAGCACTTTCTGAAGTACTGGAAGTCCTCTTCTGTGAGTGAGTGTCCTTATGCAGTATGGTCAAAATATGGTGAACCTGGCTGCTAAGAGTTATCCGATGGAAAAACAGGCTCATAAAAACATCACAATGTGCCCTCATCCGCTTCATTCACTGCGTCTCGTCCTGTGTCCTTCCGGCTCTTTTCCGAAGTCAGAATGACTGAGGGGCGAATGTTTCGAATCAGTTCAGGATGTCAAAGCAGCCAAAACAGAGCAGCTAAAGATACTCATAAATGAGGACTCCCAGAACTGCTTCAGAAAGTCGCCAGAGAGAACCACGGGATCTTGTGTTCCAAGAAATGGCTGGTATCTTGAGAAGGATTAATGGTACTGTATCTTTTGCTGAAATGTGTCTTTAAATTTAAACACTGACTGTATTTTTCATCACACAAATTTGGATTGGGTTGCCAGATAAAATACAGGATACCCTATTAATTTTAAATTTCAGATAAGCAAACACACACTTTTTTAGTATAAGGACATCCCATGTAATATTTGGCAACACCAATTGCAGATTATCTGAGCTACATGTGTCAGAAAGAACAGAAGGTCATAAATAATCAACATATGTTATGTTTGTCATATTGGTAATGCTTCCACCTTAACCAAACTGGTTATCACTATTAGAAGAAAAGGGGAACTGGGGATGTAGGCCAGTGGTAGAGCACTTGCCTACCATGTACAAAGCCCTGGGTTGATCTGCAACACTGGAAAAATAACAAAAGAGATGAAGAGGGGCAGGGGATATAGCTCGGGGGCACAAGTGCCTGCCTGGCAAGTGCAAGGTCCTGAGTTTGATCCCAGGTACCAAAAAAAAAAAAAAAAAAAAATAAACAAAGAAAATGATAAAAAGTAGTTTAATTCGTTTCAACCTACAGAGTCAAACTTGCTGAAAGGCTAGTAGCTGGAGGGGGCAGAAGCTCCAGGTGGAGAATTAGGGTCTTATTTGTATAGTTTTTATTTGTTCCTGCCTTTACCCACTAAAAATCAGCTCCCCTCAATCTTTAGTTCAAGGAACGTCAAGTGAGGTGACATTATCACTTGTGTTTCTAAATCTAAAGGAGAGTCTTACTTACTATTAGAGGCTCAGATCAAACGACACATTATTTTGGGAAACCCATTCAACATTTCAGTTTTGTTCCAGCTCAGTATTAGGAAAAACTGTCTCTCATTCACACCGGCATCTCTTAAAAAAAAAGTTTCCAGTTTTAAGAAAAAAGCAGGCGAATACTGAGCCTCCTGCTCAGCCAATTACTGCTGTTCGTGCCTGTCTCAGGTTCATGTTTCTGCTTACTACTGTCCACTTACTTGCTCCTTGGGAGATGACAGAAATGTCTCTAAAGCAGATAGCTCTGTTATAGAGAACTTCGCCTTTAACGAGAGACACTCTCACAGTGTCTACAGAGCAACAGTGGGCAGCAACCGTCCATCAGCCACAGGCTTAGCCTTTGTCCTAATAGGCAATTAGCACCAGACTCCCCGGCCGGACCGAGCCTAACAACACGGGTTTCCTCGAGTCCCCGTTCAATTAGGAGCGAGCCACCAGAAGCATGAGACTAAGCAAGGAGACAGCAATCAGGACAATTGCATCCAATCTGGCGAACATCAGGGGGCACCCGCCTTCATCAGGGCTGGGCCGAGCTTCCTGCTGAGACGGCCAGAGTGGGATAGAAAACAGCAGAGGCGCAGCCCTCTCCCTCCCTCCGGCTCCCCAGGCGGGGCTGCCCCAGCTCTGAAGACTTCTGGGGGTGACCACAGAGCCTACTTACAGGGAGGTCCGCGTAGAAGTAGTGCTTCCTGTCAAACAGGGACTTCTTATTTATGCGGCAGTTCAGGGCCAGGCCTGTCATCACTGCCGCTTCGACGCACCTCCTGTTGAGCACCTACAGAAACACCACACACAAGCTCCTCTCAGGACCAACGGCCGCACAACGGCTTCTCCCACGCCAACAGCCTCCCCAGTATCCAGCGGGCTCTTTGGCAGGCACTAGCTCTATTTCTCTGCGCGGGCAGCTCTGGTTCACAGCTGTTTGTGAATCAGGAAAGTGATATAAAAAGGAACGTGCACGTGGCAGGGGGTCCTGTGGGCACTTCATTAGCGGCTGCACTGGGGACTCTTCACCCCAATAGCTGGCATCAAAGTTAGGAAGAGTCCTAGAAGGGCTTCCGAGGAGCGGTAACTACATGGCACAGATCTCTGCTCACTCCCTGTGCACACAGAGCCAGGGGCAGAGGCAGCATGCGGGGCAGGGGCTCCTGAGATGGGGATCCCACAGGTAGCTCCACAAGCCACCTAGGGACGGGTAAATGGTCAGGCACTGGTGGCACCCTTGAGCCTGAGAGTGGTGGCATTACTAACAGAACACAACTGAATTCCTGAGAAATGCCACAAGCATTTCTTCAAGACCTGGGGATGTGGCCCTGTCACCTCCGTTCTCTGCCTGGGACTATGACTGGGTGTCAGAGCCACATTCCTGTCCCACTTGTGTGTGTGTAGGAGCTCCTGGTGTCCCTAGGTCTCCTCTGGACCACAGTATCCCCTCTGGTCTATGCTGGGCCAAGAGATGGCTAAGAAATGTCCCAGCCCCGGAGGACACGAGCAGTTCTTGGCACCTTTGTGAGTCTGGAACCAGCTAAACACAGACAGCTAACATGTGAGAGGATAAGGAGGGTCAGTTCCCTCACGTCTGTACGAGGGAGTTAGCACCTACCTTGCAGAATCAAGCGGACAGAGCAGAGCACAGAACATCCAGAACATCCTATTGCAGGGACTCAATACATAGTTCTTGCCATTCCACTTTGGGGGGATTTGTGAGAATGTGCTGATGGGTAAGATCTGTGTCTCTACTTCATTACAATATTTATAACGTTCTTTAGCATATTTAACTCATCTAATATCACACATATGACGTATATATTAGTATTTTTATCTACTACTTACATAGATCAGGCTTTCAAGGGAAGCGTATTTCACATTCACTGTTCTATTTCAGCTTTATACCAACGCTATGAAGAAGTTAGTATTATTTCAACATTTCAGAAAAAGAAAAACTAAGACTCAAAGTTGACTACGAGACTTGCCCAGGGTGGCAAATGATGAAGCTAGTTCTGACAGCCCTGAGGGGTGAGAAGCAGTCTCCGTGCTTCACAGACTAGCTCTCGGGGGTGGAGAGGCGCAAACTGACGGATGAGACACAGGTTTCAAGAATAAACTACGCCAAAATGTAAGAGGAGTCTCTATTTAGTGCAACACACGACCCCCAAGAGAAGCACACACACATCTACCCCTGGTGACAACATTACCACCCTTCCCTTTCGGAACCCAGGTTTCAAATGATACTATCTCACAGCTTCTATTCTGAGTTCTTCACTCTGAGCCTAATAACCTGGTCAGCTCCACTGCAAAAACGGTTTTCAGAAGAGATGTGTGTGGGGAACACGATGCTCCCATTATTGGTGTTTTTACTTGCTAATGTGTGCCATTTCACCCAACAGCAGTTACTGCAATACAAACAGTGCTGGTGGGGAATCCCTCCAAGTCTTAGCCTGGTGACTGGGGTCACAGCACCCGGAGCATGGATGGGGTCCTGGCCCCGTGCTGTGCTCTTCCAGGGGCTGGGCTGTGGTGAGGGCTTGGTCTGCTCCGACTCTGCCTTCTCACTCCCACCATTTCTCTAACCACTGCTTCCACTCTCACTCTGGCTCAGTCTGCCCCTCTGGGGCCAAGCTGCTTCCCCCTTCTTGGTCTGAAGAGAACTCAGGTCATTGCTTCTTTGCGGGCATGCATAATCCACTGCCTGTGCTTGGCACCTGGAGGGAGTTTGGAGCTGTGGGTGATCACAGAGTCTCACTGGGTCTAGGTACACCGGCACTCGATAAACCATCAGTGTCCAAAGAATAAGAGTGCAGTAAAACAAACAAACATTAGCGCAATGCTGAATATACTTTAATCTTTCTCTCATGATTTAGAGGGCTTGAAGTGCCTCGGGGTCAGAATTATAAGCATCAATCACTACCCCACTACAGTCGCACAGAGGGGCTAGTAAACAGAGAGTGCCAGTTAAAAGAATGCCAAGAAAAGAGAATTTATTATGATCTGAATCAAGCTGCTTCTGACAGATGGAGGTGCAGGTCAGCATGTTCCGAGGAGAGGATGCAGGGCTGGAAAATTCAACTCAGACCGTCTTTGCTCCAAAACATTTCTTGAATGTCTGTGATGTTAAACATTAGAGATCTAGGGAGAAGGAGGACCTTGTCCCTGCCCTCACTGAATCTGCAGTGGTGACACAAACCCACCACCATCTCCAACACGCTTTTTAATCTTCCACACTAGGGTGATCCTGCAAAAATGGATCTGGTGGCATTTTGTTGTCTGCTACAATGGCTCCCAAAGGCCCTGGGACAGAGGCCAAGCTCTCCCACGATCTATCCCTCTCCTACGTCTTCAACCTCATCGTCTACTACGACCCTCCGCACACCCTGGTCCAGGTCTCCTGTACACACCCATAGATCTGGCCTTTCCCTTCTAAACCTGCGATGTTACCTCCTCTCTTCGGCCTCCACCCTTCTCCTTCCTGTGTACCCCGGGTGAGCTTCTACCACTTCTGTTCGTGCTTTTACCACCGTGCACTGAACTGCTCACTTGTATTTCCAGATGGTTATAAGCCTCATGTGGATGGGAGCTATTGTGTATCCTCAAATCCCTGCAGCCGATGCGGAATCTGAGAGTGCATGTGATGCTTGGTTCCTGCGTGTGGAACTCCAGTGCGGAGGAGGAAGGCGATGCATACTCGTGAGAGGTTTCAGGGAGACAGAAGTGATCCTTTAAAGTGTTACTTGCTACTTGCTGGCCTCTACTTGTCTCTGGAAGTTCTCCAAGTAACAACGGCGTGTTCTGTATGTGAGGTGCAATGTGACCAAAGGGGCATACCAGACTGTTCTTTGTAATTAATTTGAGTGACTACGAAGGACCACAGGGTCATGCTGATGGTTCTCATGTGGAGGAGACCGATGATCCTTGGAACTCACACACATCTTTTTCAACTGGCCCTTTAGAACCCTCCCTTTGGCCTAAGGTGTGATCCGCAGCAGCGCCCACTCTGCACTAGCACGTGTCAGGAGGGATGCTCTGCACACCGCTTACAGTTGGCGTTTGGGCTTCCTACAGTCTGGGTAGAAACTGCTACGATCTTCATCTTACAGATAATAAGGGAAGCACAGGCAAGGTGACACATTTTCTTTTTATTGTTAAGGAAGTCAGACTCCTCACCCAGGGTCTGGACCATTACACTCTATTTTGAATCTCCACAGTATAAAGTGTATTAGTTTTAGCTCTCAGGGCTACCAGCACCACGCAGCCAAAACTCCAGAACAGCACCTCACATCCTACCCGACACAAGGCAGATGCTGTCCAATGTTTTACTTCTTGCCGCATTCCATCTCTACGGGTCTGTTTCCAGATCCTGAGCTTCCAGACAGCAGCTACTGTGTGCTTTTTACCGTCCTGGAAATCTGACACCCGGTCCTCTCGGGCTTGTGGAGGTTTGGTAGGGGGTGGGCCTATAGGTTTTCTCAATTAGTAGAGGATGTTCTGTGGCTAGACTCCTCAGCCAGGCTCACCAAACGGTTTATCTACTAGGAGGTTAACTATTGCATTTCCTCAGAAGATGAGAAAGCCGTGACAGGCAGAAGTGGGAGATGAGATAAACAGATGGTGGAGGGTCAGGAATTTTCATGACCGCGAGAGAGAAACTGGGCAGACTGTGGCCTTGAACAGGGTTTCAGGCTGCTGATGGTGAGTGGGAGTAGTGAGTGGTTTTCAGAAAGAACCATGTACTTGGCTTGCTTGTAAAACATGAGCAGCGCTGCAACCATCACTTAAAATACATCCAGTGGATAAGAGTGTAAACAACCCAGAAACGTGCACGAGACCTCCAAGGAGGTACAGCGACCCCAATTCGAGAAAATCTTCCAGCTCTGAGGCTCATTTAGCCTAACCAAACAAACACGTGCTGACCGCTGAGTACGGCGGCAGACCATCACTTGAGGACAGCCCCAAACACATCCAGGTAATTCTCCAAGCGCCACACATCCTACGCCTTGAGGCATCTTCATTTTCCCCCTTCCTCCCACATCCTCCAGGATCATTAAACCGGAAGCCTCCTCTGCCTCCAGTGTCTTTCTGAGACACTGGACGGTGACTGTCTCAAGGGATCAACCTGCTCATGAACTTCCACTACCTAAACTACTCCACCGTTCTCAGTCACCCAAGGCATGTGTCCCAATGCTCAGCAGAAACTTCCCGCCCTCGGTGATCTAGCCTGCTGCTTCTGTGGCTTCCTTTTCCTCCACTGGCCCTAACTCAGCACTATCATGTAGCCAAGCCTCAGACGTGCTTTTGTACAAACAGTAGCTGCTGATGGTGAGGCCCTTCTTCACCTGCTTATGCCGGATCTGGGCAGATGGCAAGACGCTCAGCTGTTACCTTCCTCGTGAGATCCTTCCCGCCACCACCCTGTCTAGGTGTTCCTTCCTCTCAGCTCCCAGGGCACTGTCTCCACACCAGCCTCGGCTCTCTCAGGGCAACTGAGTCACCTGCCTTATTCTTCTTTGCCCCACCATCTAAACACAACAGCAAGCTGATTACACATTACCTGAGATAGCGGAGTGACAACATTTCTTTTATCAACGCCCAAAAGACTGTACGCTATGAAAGTAAAACTGCTATAAAATGTATTGATTGGGAAGAGGAAACCACTGAGGACCTTCTCAGCAGGTTCTCAACAGCAGGAGCCTACTGTCATCCGAGGGCTGGAGGGTCAGGGGAGAAGCACTGTACGTGGAGAGCGAGGATTGGTGCCACCAGAGGAGGCTGCAAACACGG